TTGATTTGACTGAGTTATCTTATACATATAATATATTAAGCTTTTATTAGTATATATATAATGTGTACTTTAAAACTTTTGAAAATACAAAGTTTAAATATAAATTATTTAAATTAATTAATATTAAATAATTATGATTTATCTTTATCTTTTAATTAAATAATTAAATAAATTAATTAAGTCTTTTAGGGATTAAATAATTATTTAAATTAAACAATTAATAAAATAATTCAAATTTATTCCTAATCCAGACTCTCCTAATTTTTGAAAATAGAGTTTGGTTTATCAGGTCTAATTATTTAAATTTTAAGGTTTTTAAAACAATAATTAAGGAAACAAGATAAAACCCTAGAAAGGCTCCCCCATTTTCGAAAATAGGGTTAGGGAGGCTACGGTTTTAAGAAACCCTAGCAAAGTCGAAAATCATGACTATTAAGGTTTAATTTCTATAAACCTTAATTTTGATCTATTCACTATTATGAACAATCAAATATAAAACTGCGGCTCTGATACCACTGGTGAGTTTTTAGATTATAATTAAATCATGTGGCAGAAAAACTTAACACTTAAGTTCACATGCAACCTATTTGGATCTTAGTTTTCTGTATTGATATTTATAATATATGAACATCAAAGAACCCTAGGAAAACCCTACTATAATTGAAACTCACAAAGGGATTAGGGTTTACATTTCTTTTGATTATTATTATAAATAATCAATCAAATCCTTATTAAACAAGCTCTAGAAAGCAAGCACCATAAATCTCGTGTTTGTGATGATTTGTACCCAAACCCTAGCAAGTAGAATACTTGAGGAGAGGGGAGTGGGGAGAGGATTTTCGATAATTCCTACTTAGAATAATAGTGGCTGAAAATTGTATGCTGAAGGCCCTATTTATAGCTGATAGAAAAACCCTAGATAACCCTAATTTGAAATAAAATAATATTATTTAAAATCTTGATTTTATCTACTTTCCTTATTATGCATATTATCTATATGGAATAATCTTGAATTCCCTAATGAGCCTTCAAAATTTTGGCCAACCCTAGAATATTATAAAATCCATCTCTTGTTCAACTGCTTAACAATTACAACTTATTTCCTTGCATTTTTAATTAATCCAATTAATCCCAAAAATAATTCCAATTAATGTCTTATTAATATTAAATTATATTATTTCTAATTAATATATTAATCTCATAATATATTAATAAATTATTTATTGCTATTTATTAATCATATAATAAACCAATAAATCAACCACTATCTCCAAAAGTCATTCTAGTCAATTACTAGATTTGAGGGCAACCCAAAAGGACTTTTCTTTTAATTCAAGTATATACCAATATAGTTATTGGCTAAGACACCTAATCCAACATTAAGCACCATGTGTTATTCTTACTCAACCTCCAGAGTGTCGTGAGTTCTTGTAATACCGCACCACAACACTTCTGTATCCTTCTCATCATCTAACCTTTAAAATAAATGATGACATTTCTTTTATGGTCCAAATCATCCTTTGATTCTCACACAATAGTAGTTCGTCTCTCTGACTCATTCATGGAACTTTAAAAAAGATACTTTACTTGTCGTTGTCTTCTCGACAATCCTTTTTAACAAACTTTAAGTGCTATTTATTTTTGTTCACACATTGTTAGTACTATAAGATATTTGATGTTCAATTTTCATTCTTTGATATTCCATCATGTGAAGTTGTCTTCCTCCTTGATCGATAATAGAACATATTCCATCTATCGCTCCTTTAACATCAAGTTATCACATGTTGAAGTCTTATTCCTTCTAATGCCCTCATCACGTTCTCCACATAATATTAACTTTTCATCACTAATCACGAAACTTGTAACTAGAGCTTACAAAGTTGCTCCCATTAAATTGTTCATAATAGTAGTCTATTACCCTAGGGTATATTACTCTTATAGACTTATCATCATTAATTTTTAGTTTCATTATTTGCATGATTCGAGACAGTCTTCATATTATTTGTCTCATTTTCGGCTCAAGAAATACCTTCAAGTATCTCACACTATTCTTCTTCCCTTGTAGTAACTTCATTCACTGGTCTAGTGCATTGGATTAATGACCCATTACCCTTCTTCCATAACTACCATCATACCCGACATCTAATATTGTTTTCATCTGGTTTCTAACTCCTTAGGATCCTAAAAAGATCTCATTGAGTGAATGATACCAAGATTCTTCTTAAGTTGTCTTGATCGTGCTTTCTTGTGTTATCTCACTTTTTTCATCGTATTATCATTTTGACAATTAGGTCATTAGATCACTTTCCCATGTCGTCAATCACATCTGAGTATTTACTTTCATTTAAAGATGGAAAACATGATTCCATTCCGTTCTTTTTTCCACCAACTTGCTTGTAAATTCAAGTTATCACTACTGTGTAGTGACATAAGTTTGTTCCAAATAAACAACTTCAAGTAGTTTCTTAATCATAAATTTGGAGTTCAAATTCTTTTCCCATTTTAGAATTTTACCACAACTCAACTATGTCCCTTTTTAGCTAATTGTTTGTTAATAACATTAATAACTCAATTCGCTTCATTACTTGGTGTTTCTAACTCACTACCAATGGTACTAAAAGAGTACGAACTCAGTTTTGAACGTATATCAAATATATACCAAATAATTTTTTATTTTTATACTAGCTAATTGACTTTGACAAAAAAAGTCAAAGCTACAAAAAATTTCCATTATCTATTAACATGCTTTAAACTCCTTCATGATTCTTATTTGACACAAGCTTTGTGTCCTTTATGTCCCTATGTCACTTAAATCCTTACACATTTCACAAAAACTCCTACATGATTCCATCGAGTTCGTGTATGTATCATGTGTTTATAATAGTACGAGCCCTATACTATTATACTCGCATCATACATAACAGACCTTGACTTCACCACTTAGGACATTTAGATCCATTAGTTTATATTTTCCATACACTAGTCTTACATCCGGTATTCATTTTATAAACACTCAACGAAGTATTCTACATGTCATTCTAACTTATCTAGAGCTTCATAAATATTAAGTATGCCATTTCCTTACTATCACTTGTTACACAAAATTCTACCTAACTTAAGGCACATGAATCCTATAAATCATTCATACTTCCAATAAGAAAAGTATAAGCCTAGGAGTGGAATGATCCAATCTTAATTAGCTTAAACTACAAATCTAATACCAAACTGTAACAACCTAAAATTTTCAAAAAAAGTTTCAAAAAATAAAATTCCATTGTTTTAACAAAATCATTACGGGTATTAAACCGCGTTTAACAAAAAAAAAGGTCTGACAAAAACATTCATGATTAAAACATCAGGTGTTACCATTAAGCATCATACAAACCATATCAAAAATATCATAATTACATCAATATCATTTAAAAAGGAAGTTAACAAGTTCGACTCCATTCTCTATGTCTTAACTTCTATCTTCCATCTATCATTTTTTTCTCCTTAACTGCATCCTGGGATACATGACACTAAAAAGAGATAAGCAAGACAAAAAAATTTCGTGAGCTACGCGGGTTTGTGACCCAAAAATTTATCACATTTTCATTAAAGTTATATCATCTTTGAAAAACATATTTCAAATAGACATTTTCCATAATTTGTTCCATATCAAAACATTTCATTAGTCGTAACATAATTCAAAAGGAATTTCTTTTCACATTCCATTCATTCTTTCAGTAAGGGCTAATTCTGGTGTTAAACCATTGCCACTTTTATACTTAGGGTCTGCGTTCGATAAAAGAACCACTCCCAAGTCTAGACCAATGTGGAAAGAACAAATCAGCCCACCAAGGCATCATTTCCAATAGGACATCTACTTCACGACGGGGAAGGTACCACCCCAGTAGATTCCTCTAATGCCTCTTATGAGTAATTATGGATCGAATAGTTTTCATAGTCTCTTTACATTCTTTCCGTTTTACTTTCTTTTTAGCTTTCATTTTCCATATTATCAATACTCATATCATCATTTATAATAACATAGATTCATAGGAAAATGTACTTTGAAAAGACACATTTCACATATCAAACATTCGTTCTTCCAAAATATTCTTTGCTTTCAAAACAATCGCACTTTCAATGCATTCTTTCAAAACATTATTTTCAAAAACATTTAACACTTTCCCTTAAAAACGTTTCATATGTGAAAGCATTTCATTTCATTATCATAAAATCATTTTGTCATGTCCCCAAATGTGGGAAAATGATAACACGTACTAACCTTAGAAGCTAGGTATGACTAGCTCTACTATTCCCCTTGCTTATTGTTTATTGATCATGCATCAAACCTATTTCGTTAAAAAAATTGTATTTTTCAACAATACAATGTCCCACAATCATTTCATATAGTTTACTAAGTATAACCTAACCCATTTGTGTAATAATTTCTCATAAATAGTATAACCTAACCTATTTGTGTAATAATTTCTCAAGAATAGCTCTACTACCTCCCTTCCTTATTTCTCGTTAATCTAGTCCTTCCAATATTATTTCAAGTCCATTTCAAGAGCCAAATATGCTTTATAAGCACATAATAAGCATTTTTGTCATTTTAACCATTTGTCCCCTTTTCTTTGACCACTTAACCATTTTCTTTTATAAAAGTGTTTTAACTCAATGATATACACTCAAATATGTGCCAGTGGTGTTTATGAGATGTATTAAGATTCTTGGAACCTTTTAGACAACTTTTTGTTTCGACATTTTTTTTGACCATTTTCTCCTTTAGGCATCATATTTCTCCTAAATGTGTTTTCATGAGTTTAAGAAATATTAAATCTCTAGTATTTATGTTTCTTTATGATAATGTATGTAAATCCCTAGCTCGCCAAAAAGGACCGGAATTAAAATCGGGGAAGTAATATTTTTTGTAGTAGCTCTTTCGTGATAAAATAGTTAAGGCTTATGTGGCTACTATTAGATCTAAATAATGTTTTTTTATATTACAGTATACAGGTTTAGCTTGGGACAAACTTAAACATATCAGACAGGCTATAATGTTCTTGGTATGTTTCTTCCAATAAAGGATTTTTTTTCTATTGTAAAATTTAAGATTAATCTATTTATTTCAATGGTTCAATATATTTATTACCGTCAGGTTAAAGAAAAAAAGAAAAAGATATCTTATAGCATCTTCCAAAATCTATGCCCTGTAAGTCATTCCCTTCCACTCTCACTCTCACTTTCTTTCACACACCCATACATGATTTGTGTAACAATGAATTTCTCCACCTTTGAACAAAAACCTTTTATATAAAACTTTTTATATATGCTTACTTACATATGCTGAGTATTAAGATATTTACAAGTGGAATCGCACACTGAAACAAAAGTTCTAATAAATTAGTTGTTTAAAAAATCATCAAGTTCTACTGCTTTAGGTTTGTGTTTTTGGTTAAACTACACTTGATGTTCGGTTCGAGGTTTCTTAAATTTTGACGTAAACAAAACCGCAAACAAGCCATATGTGGAAAACCCAAAAAACATATTCTCTACTCTCTAGACCAGTTTTACAAAAGACTTTTAAGGGCTAAAATGGTGAATTCTACCAAAAGCTAACTATATAGCTAAAACGGTGAATTCTAGCAATAGCTAACTATATATAACACGATGAATATACTAAAACCTTGAACTTAGTATCCAAATGACTTGGTTAAAATGAACTCATAGGCCTCATTCTCCAATTTTAATAACATTAACCTTCTTTTTATTGATTTTGTTAATATTTTATTTAGGAGGGGATATAGTGTGGTTTAAGTGACAAACCACAAAGAATGAGAAAAATGGTTTTGTGCTATTGATCTCAATGTTGTAGGAACTTATACAGGGAAGGAATTTTACATAGAAAGCCTAAAAACCAACAGACTAAATCTCTTATGAAATAGAGACTATATAATTATCTCCCTTAACCAAGGAATGTGATATTATCGTAAATTATAAAAGATATACGTAAAATATGACAACTATAAAAGTTACATATACCCATAAACACCCGTTCAAGGTGGAGCATGGAGATTCGAGATGCCCAGCTTGCTATGTAGTGTCAAAAGTGTGTTGGGATAGATATTTGTTTAGAATATCGGCTAGCTGATAAGTGGTAGAGACATAGGTTAGAAGAATCACACAACTGCTAATTTCATCTCCAATGAAGTGATAGTCGATTTCAATATGTTTTATAAATTCATGGAATACTAGATTCAATTAAATCAAGTTGAAGATCAAAGTGGTTGTCGCAAGAGATAAGCATAAGAGCAGGATGTGAACACCAAACATGCCATTTAACCATTTCTATTCGGATGACACAGCAACAAGTGCTCGATATTCTGCCTCTTAAGGGTACATGAAACCTAATAGATCTATGTCATAACACTATTGAACCAACATACTATTGAACGACAAAACTAATAAACCTTAGTAGAAATCAAATTCATAATTAAAAACACATACCTTTTGTAGATCCCAATCATGATAATCGAAGTCTTGTAGTCTCCTTGGAAACCTAGCTCCAATAATGTGCGAGCCTCTAATGGTTCACATAAAAAATGCAAGAAACCCTAGGATTGAAGGAGAGAGGGGACTGAGGCGGAGAATTTAGTTCCCCCCCCCCTCTTAGGTATGAAAGAGCGACGAAAATTAGATGCCTAAGGGTCTTATTTATAGTCTACGTAACTTAGTGACAAATCAAGATTCGAAGGATTAAACAATGGATTTAATCCCAATCAAATTCCTTTCCTGATATACCATCATGAGGGTTCTGGAAACCCTAAGAATTTCTCCAAAACCATCCATACCATGGACTATTCTAGAATTTCCTCTTCTGTTCAACTATTAAATAATTATAATTCACCCCTTGTATCTTTAATTAACTCAAATTAACCCCTAATTAATTCCAGATTAATTCTGATTAATAATTAATCAATTATTTCTAGCAAATTTATATTCATATAATAAATTAACAAATCATTAATTAACAGTTTCTAATTAATATATTAATCACATAATATATTAACAAAACATTTTATCTCTCTATCTCTCTCTCTCTCTCTCCCCCTCCTTTGATCAATCCCAACCATTTACTGGTTATGATGGCAACCCAAACAAGACTTTACTTTCATTCATCAAAATTATACCAATTTAGTTAGGATCTTAGACACTTAATACAACAATATCCCACTTGGATAAGTGTCTAACTACAATTACAAGTACAGCTCCGAATAACTAGTAAGGAGTGTTATCCAAAGACACTGCCAAACTATGATTACATGTTGGTCCTAAGATAAGTGATATCTATTCCTTCATTCTACAAGATACAATATGCACATGAGACATAGATTATAATCAATCTCCTAGTCCAAGATTTTGTTTCTTGATTTCCCGATTTATGACGACTAAAATCAGACTAGTAATTGAACACATCAATGAAGTTCGAGTTCGGCGAAGCACTTCAGATGTCAGCAACAAACTATTGAGGGGCCCAAAGATATCACATTTCCTATTAAGGAAAAAGGAACGAATAAGCTTCGACTATACAATCATCAATTTAACCCACCAAATCATGCATGGAATTACACTTTATAACACCCAATTACGAGATGCGTTTTGAAACATATGACTTATATATATATATATATATATATATATATATATATATATATATATGTATATATATATATATATATATATATATATATATATATATATATGTTTAAAGAATAGAAGATTTTATCGTCTTCAAATTACTCATGATTGAATCCATGAATTAATCTCTAAGTGCGGGTTTAACCAACACTTAAAATAGTTATTTTCAAAGTACTCATGAATATTGCAGCAATCCTTATGCAATGTTCAATCCCTAAAGACAATTTACAATAAATTCATCACAGTGTTAAATTAATAATTACTCCTAAAACTATCATTGACTGCGGCATTTTGAATAAATTAATAATCAGGAAATGACACGCAAAATGAAACACAATAATAAACTAATTGTTCTATGGCTTCACACTATTTGAATATAAATAATTCCCTATTATTTAATCACCATAAGAATTATAGATTAATCTATTGTATAAATGTTTTGAGGTAATCAACTTAACGACTAAACTTGTTAACATATCTCATGCCAATGCTCTTAGCATACATATCATATTTTCCTTTGGTCATCACTATTGAGAATGAATCATCAGAAAGATATTCACTTCACAACTAGGAATCCATCCACATGTATATCTTGGATGTAGTGGAATTTCTTCCTTTTATGCATTAACCTTCTGTGATCTAAAAAATCCTTAGTCAATATAATTTCACTTTCACATAATGTTTCTAATGGAAATTTGTTACTTAAAACAAATCCAAGGTCAAATATGAAGCTTTCTAGTCAAGGTACGTTCCTTGGATACTTTACTTTCACCAATATGGTCTTACCCACATTGTCGAATCTACCACCATCTCCTACATGAAACCTTTAATATTACAAATTAAAATGAATATCCATTTAGAGTATGACTTAAAGTAATCTCTAAAATTCATGTCACTCTAACTTATTTTAATCATGTTCTCTTTTGTCTACAAGAAACCATTCCTTGATATCTTTCAATACCTCAAAATGTTCTTGACAGTTAACTAGCAATTTAGTCATATGCCAATTTCTTATCCAATTTCACAATGCTCAAATAATCTAAGACATCAGAATAAGCATAAGTCATAGCATTAATGATCGATCCTATATCCAAAGCATATGGGACATGACTTATCTTGTCATTTTCATGACTAGAAGATACGACTTTGAGATTCATTGAAGTCCTTGCTATAAAGCATACGAACAATCTCTTTCATAGAATTTTTTATGTTGAAACATTTCAATACATTGTGCTTTGATTAGAATCCTATTAAACATTTCGATCTATACATTTAGATCCAAATACCAAGTATCAATGTCGCTTTTCCTCTGTCCATCATAGCAAAACAATTCTCAAGCTTTTGCACCTTGCAACCTAGGGTAATGTTTCCTATGAGTAGTATTGTCATCTATATGTAATACAAGGAAGATAACGACACTCCCACTACCTTTGACATGTACTCAAGGCTCATCTGGATTTCTAGAAAGACAACACTCTTGACTTTGACATGTACTCTATGCAATGCTTGTCTAAATCTGCGAATGGATTTCTCAAGCCTACACACCTTCTTTGGATACTTTTTATGTTTAAATCCTTTCAAAATATGTCATATATCCTCTGAAGGTTTCCAATCGAGGAAAGTTGTTTAAACATCCACTTTACCATACCATTAATGAAAGAAGGCAAAAATGGCAACAAAATAACCAAATAGACCTTTCTCAACTACTAGTAATAACGTTTCCTCATAATCAATTTCTTGAGTTCTAAGCGAAACCTATGTCTACCATATTAGCTTTGAATGTGTGTACATTCTCATCCATATTCGTCTTCACATTGAAGATCTAATCTCAAACCATTATCACAAGACGAAATTTAGGATAAACCAATTTCAAAATTAGTTATCCTTCAAGGATATAATTTCGCTATCCTTAGACTATTCTAATAGCAACCATAGGGCTCACTATTGCTTCCTAGTAGGTATTAAGCTTATCTAAATTGATCAATGTTTTATCATTAATCAACGTATCTCCTTATATAGTTAGATAAAACTCTAAAAACTTGGATGGTGCTCTAACTCTACTATTTCTTTCGAAGAGGTAAGGGAATGTCATTTGACTCAATCGGTTTATCAACTTCAAGTTGAGAGCTGGTGTCGACTATAGGTTCATTGTCGGTCATATCTCGGATTTTTGAAAGTTCAATGTGACTCTCACTGACTTCTTGATATCTACATAATCATTCTCTCAAGGAACATTCCTTTTGAGCTATAAGCACAAATATCAATAGTCTCCAGTGAATACCCGACAATGTAACACATTATAGATCTCGATTCAAGTGGGTCATTGGTTTCTCATTTAACGAAAGACCTCACAATACTAGATCTAAATGTGATGGAACTTTCCAACTCCACATTTCATGAGGTGTTATCAAAACCTACTTAGTTGGATACAAGGTTTAAGAATGCTCTACTAATTCAAGTGTATATTCCAAAAAATTTGTGAATGATAGCGAAGCACGATTCATCATAGATCGA